ACAATATATATATATAACAATAATAATTATAATAATAATAAAATATAATTTAATGATTGAATTTGGTACTTTGATGGAAATTAAAGTAAAGTTCAAATCTCCATGCATTCAATATCCCCTATTAGGGGTGCCATTAGCATTCGTCTAAAATAATCAAAGTTTTTTAAGGAAAAAAGAAAAAAATTCTACATCAACTCCCTGACACCACAAATAAACCCGTCATCTCCTCCATTCTTTCTTCTTTGTCGTTCCAACTAAGCCACCACCGTCCATTTTTTTTCTGGGGATCTACCACGGCCCCTCCTTTCTTCTTCATCATCGCAGGAATTCACCACCATCCCTTCACTCTTTTCCAAATCCCACATGCCTACATTATCTACGTCCTCATCCCTTCAAACACGACACTCTTCTCTTCTATGACAACACCAACGTTCGTCTCGAGTTCATGACCACATGTTCAAAATCCCAAGGCCACAAGTTCATGACCATGGGTTCAAAATCCCAACTCCGGCCTTTTCCTTCCCCAATCATTGTTAAATTGAAACTGAAACCCAACGTCGATGTTGGTGGGTTAGGTTCGTTTAGTGCCACATGCTGCCCTAAGGTTTCACCCAATTATAATTTTTTTAAGTATATAATATTTATAGACGAAAAATGAACTCACCCATGCTCCTCACTTTTCATGAGTATCGAACCCCTAACCTCCCGAGGAGTCGGCGCTCTACATATCGCTTGCCCAAAGGGGCTTTGGTAATCTTAATTCATTTTATGGGCAACTAACAAGAAACGAGATGAATGAATATAATGAGACTAACCAATCATCATCCAAATACCAATTCTTGACATATAAAAGCGATCTAGAAACTGGTGAACATTATCCAAGTCTTGGTAATCAAGTTTTGGGTCAAGACATCTCTTCAATTGTTGGACTCCTAAAGCCATGGTGGGACCACATTATTGTGTCTCACCTTGATCAACTTAATCATTTTCGTGAATGCTCGTCGTTTTTGTCCTTGATATCAGGAAAGGATCTAAGGTCGTGAAACGAATTCATATACCAAACTCCCACCTTTGTAAGACAATGAAAACATTGAATCTGTTGTCTAAAATCAAAGCTAGTAACAAAAGAAATGACAATTACTAGAAAATAAAATTTTGACTATTGATTATCTCATAGGCTTTCAAACTTATACCAACCACGCGACATCAATGAATTTGAATTTTCGATTCTAACAAGCATACAAGACTATGGTCATGTATTGCAAGCATAATCTGGCATTCTTTTTAAGCGTATTGAAAAAGCTCCAATTGTTAATGCATAAACTAGCTTATAAGTTAGCTTTTTGAAAAGCCATTTCATATAGTGTTTTAGTAAGTTCCTCTTTACCAATTATGCTTCTTATGTTTTACATAGATGACCAAAACCCCTATACTTAAGGTAATTTTACATTGTCATCTATCGTATCAGCTAGATTTCGCCAAAAATGACTAGTTTATCAACCAAGGCTAGCTTATTAGTAAACAATCAGGTTCTAAGTTAGTTCCCAAACATAGACTATAAAAAGCCTAGTTCATAGAAAAACTAGCTCAAATCTTGAAAGCAAATAGTAATGTCTCTTTATATAAAGGAAACAAATTGCTTGTTGCTACAGATCCTCAATCCAATCCTTGTACCAAGATCCTCAAATGGCATCATGTATTGAACAAGTATTTACACAGGAAAAAGAAAATGAAGATGGAATTCTTGTCAAACAACACTAACAACCATCTAAAACAAAGCCCAATTTGCAGATCACGTCATCTAAAAAGTTAGCAAGGGTTACACCTGTCTCAGCATCACCACGAGCACAACACAACATTTGCCCCAAAGAAAATAAATGTATATCAACAAAAAAATGGGGAAAATACTAGGGATTGTGAGTGACATACTTTGAGGATAACAGGCTTTTCGGATAAGCCATATGGAAGAGACTTGAGCTTAATGGCACGCCTAACAATCCTTATTGGGAGCTCTTTGTGAAGAAATTGAGTGGCTCGAATGTGGTTATGACTGTTTAGATTAGAATTACTCATTAGGAGTAGGAGTGTATTGTAAGGTCAGGTGGTGGGGTTGGTAGGTGATGAGGTGGGGACATGGACATGGTTAGGGGTGGGTTGGGTGGTTGATGGTAGTGGAATTAGATGAGTTTGATGGGAGGTAACATGGTCGGGGGTTAGTAGGTGGTGCTTATGGTGGGTGGTGCTAGGGGTGGGGGCAATCGTTTAAATGGAGTAATATGGTGGTTGTTGGTGTGTAACGGT